GATCGCGCCCCCCCGCCGCTGTCCACAGCCCAGCTCCGGCCCCCGGGAGGCGTGGGGGCCCCCGCAGGAGACCCGAAGCCGGGAGGGAGGAACCACCGTCCCGCGCGCGGCTCCGCGACGGCCCGTGCGCTCCGGGTGCGCGCTCTCCGGCTCTGAGCGAACAAGCGGATTGGGGGACCCTGAAGTGGCCAGAAAGGAAGCGGCTCCAGACAAACCCCGGCGCTCCCGCCCGACCTGCCCCTTAAAGGAATACACGCCCCTTTCCCTCCCAGGGCCGAGCCCAAAGGGAGGAGGTGCCCACACTCTGCGGGGGACCACCCCACGCTGGGAGGCTGCTGGCCAAGCTGGGAAGGGAGTGTGTCCCAGGGCTGAGGCTGCCACACCGTGGGGAAGGTGAGTAGGGGATGGAGGAGACTCTGGCTTACCCTAATCGTGCTACTAAGCAGGGCGGGGTGCTGGGGGCACCCCTCTCCAGCCCTCTGTAAGTGGGCTATGGCTGCCTCCACCTTCAGGAGGGTGTTTTCTTTCCTGTCCAGACCAACAGGGGTCCTGGGCTGGACAGTTTCCTCAGCAGAAAAGCCTACAGAGGGCCATGGGGGGAGGGGGTCACTGGGCCCAGAGCCGCTTCCTGAACACACCGGGATAGCTTGCGTGTGCGTGGGTGCATGCCTGTGAGTGTGATACAGGAGCATCCGGGAGCAAGTTAGGGCAGAGCCGCAGTGACTAGAGGCTGGCATGCACCCAGGGGGAAGGCCAGGCTTGATGGGCAAAAGGGAGCCAGTGAAGGTTCCTCTGTAAAGAAGGGATGGCTTACCACCTGGGTGCAGGATGGGTTGGAGGGGAGATCAGTAGAACACAGGTACCAATTAGGATGCTCTTGCAAGCCTCTCTGACAAAGACGACCAAAGTGTGTGAGGCCTCTGATGGGCCAGGCTTTGCATAGGTACATTAGTCCCTAGGAGGCCATGGGGTCGGCCCTGTTATTTCCGAGGCCCAGAGATATAATAGTCCAAGGTTACTCGGAGCCAGGTTGCCCAACTTGAGACCTGGGGCCCCTAATCACTCCACTATGTTTAAACCAGGACCAGAAAGGAGACCAGACTCCTGGAAGAAGCAGGTCAACAGGCCCAGGTGCTGACCGGCAGGTGTAGGGAGAGGAATGGACAGTAAGGGGCAGGGCTGGCCAGCAGGGGGAATCCCAGAGCTGGCTCTGGCGACTGCAGACAGGAGTAAAGAAGTAAATTCGTGGAGGTGATTCATTAGTGGAGGAGCTGCCCGGGGAGAGGAGCCGAGGACAGAAGGCATCAGGAGTAAGGGGATCTCAGTCCAGGGTCCCCAATCCAAGGCTGCAAAGATGAGCGAGAGGGAGTCCTGGGATCAGCAACCATCCAGAAAGACTAACTCCAAACCCAATCCGTGCAGCTTCAAGGAGTCTGAAAACAGTTAGAAATGGGGACTCCCAGGAGTAGAGAGCCCCACAACCCAACTTCATTTGGAGACCTCGGCCTGGCCTGTTACTCTGTCCCTGCCCAGCCAAGAAGCCCTGGCAAGGGCAGTTCCCAGGAAGGAGCCCCCTCCGGATGAATTTCCCTGGTGAGGCTCCAACAAAGCCACACCCTCCCTTTCCGCAGCCTTGGCGAGGCCAGATGTGCTGCCCAGAGGGTGCTGCCCAGAGGCGCCTGTGGGTATCTCAGCATGGCTCCCAAAGTCAAGGCCTCTGGGCACCGCGGTGGTTTCACTCGCCCCTTTCCCAGCTAGCCAGTCCCTCCTCTGTGGCCAGCCCCTTTCCCGGATCACCAGGCACTGGCCTGCACCGCCCCCACTAGCCACTTCCTGATGGCCCCTGCCCAGGGAGCGAATGCGCCAGTGGCCTCTCCAAAACCAGCGTGCTCAGCCAGGAGGCCTTGCGCCCACTTGGCAGAGTCCTGGTCTCCCATGGGGGATGCCCCCCCCCCCAGCATCCAGCCGCCTCCTTCTTCCAGCTGGTAAGCAATCCTAGTCGGGCAGGTGGTGAGAAAGCTGAGCATGGAAGGTGGGGACCAGCACGAAACAGAGTCCATTTCAACGCGATGATGACAATGAACCACACAGCCAAGGCTCCAGACAGTGACATAAATATATTTCGGAAACTGCCGGTGCCCGCCCACCGCCTCCCGTCTGTCCACAGACCCATCCCACCCCCTTCTTTCTTTCCAGGCTGCAGCACAGGGCTCAAGAGGGATCTCCAGGGAAGTAAGTGGGGGGTGTCAGAGGGCTGGGTGCTGGCATCAGGAATGGCAGCTTCGTGCTGAGGGGCAGGAGACTTTTCATCTCCAGCCTGGCGCCGCAGGGCCCTCCTCCAGGACCGCGGGAAATGTGGGGTATGGGAGGGGGCTATGGAGGACACAGAGGCTGGAATCGGGGATCTGGAGAGGTGCGGGTAACCCGCACCCCCGACTTCGCTCTTCCCTGTCCATCCCAGACCTGCGCACCTCCCTCAGCGCCTAAGAAAATGCGATGGCACGAGGGCTGGGCACAGGGGGGAGGCATGTGGGAGGGGAGGTGTGAGGAAGACAGAGGGAAGGCGACTGACTGACACCCCCCTCCACGGCACTACAATCATGAGGGGGGTGGGCAGAGGAGGCAGCAGGACCACAGAAGGTCAGGAGAACCGGGGAAGGGGCATGCGCCCCACAGCCACCCCGGTCCCCTTAGCTGGACCGACTAACATCCCAGCAGCTCCACACGCAGGGTGATTCGGTTGTGCCAGGCTACAGGCAGGATGCGCACGAAACGAGCCAGGAAGGGTGTCTCAAACATGTTTTTCTTGTGGGAATTATTGTCGAAGTTGCCTGGGAAGATCTGCGGGCAGAGAAGGGGGGTCAGGAGGGTCCCCGAGCCAGCCCCCCTCCCATCAGAGCCCCAGGCCCAACTCGCAGGGCACCCGGGAGTGGTAAGAGGCAGGCAGCCGACACTCACCTTGCTGTCTGTGGACCCCGGGTCCCTATACTCGGTCCAGTTCCCGCCGTCATCACTGTGGGCCACCTTGTAGGCCGCCACATACTGGATGTTGCCGAAGTCTCGGGCCCCCTGCGTGATGATGCCGCTCACTTGTTTCTGGGAGCCCAAGTCAATCTACAGGGGGGGAAAAAAAAAACCAACCCACATTTTCTTTGCTTGGACCCTTTCCAGTAAAGTGGAAAAAGACAGACACACTGGGATATGAATTATAGTTTGGGGAAAGCTACTTCACTTGGCAGATCCTCAGTTTTCTCATCTATAAAATGGGCACAAATGCCACCAACTTTGTCAGACACGATGAGGCAATTCATGGCAATGGAGTTCAGGTTTCAGAGCCCTTGGCATGGACTGTTCCTGAGGTCCTCTGCGGGACTGTCCACAGCCTGACCTTGGTCCTGAGGAGTCCCAAGACAGGCAGCTCCTCAAGGAACCCGGCTCCTCAGGCTAATGTGCTCCTTGGGGCCCAGAAACAGACCTTCCACTCCCAGTCCCTGACCAACCTGGGGAGCTGGCCACCTGCCCCTTCATAGGCAGTCCCAGGACCCAGGGTGCAAACTCAACTCACTGCCAACCAGGAGGTGAGCCCCAGGCAAATCCTGACCCCTCATCTCTGACATGAGCAGATGCTCTGGTGCTCTGCAATTTCAGTGAAATCCGGGGGCTGTCCCCTGGTGTGCTCTCAGACACCAGTCAGAGAGCATGTGCTCTGTGCTCAGGCAGAGAAATCCCACGGTGCCTGTCCCAGGAGGCCCTCCTCTACCCTGTCCTGCTGCTGTCCAGGAGCTCAGCCTTGTTTCCCTGTGGCAGCCAGCGGGGGTGGCTCTCCTCCTACACACACACACCCCCTTTCTCCACCTGGGCTGGGAAGCAGCTACGAGTCACCCCCCCACACACACACTGGACCTAACAGAATCAGGAGGAAGGTGGGGTATATGATAAAAGAGAAAAGAAAAAAAAAAACAAAGGCTTTTCAGAAATTCCCTCTTGGGGAGCAGAAGCCTGGGCCGCAAAGAGGTCAAAGACCAGGCAGCCCCGCCTGATCTGGGAACCCAAGGAGCCGGGCCCACCTGCAGCCACTCCGAGGCAGAGTTTCTTTCCGCCGTCCAGGCGTTGAACTTGCCCTGCTGGTCCAGCCGCGCATAGAAGGGATACCAGCTGAAGGAACTCAGGCCCCAGGTCTTGAAGGTGCTGGAGGCTGTGATCTGCTTGTTGGGGATGGTTCTGTCCTTTAGGCCCAGGGGGTCCGCGCATCCTGTGACAGGGGAAAGGAGGCGCAAAGGGTGGGTCTTGGGTAATGAGCCCTACAGCTCCGCCAAGGGCCAGCAGGTGGCACTGTGGCTGCAAAAAAAAAGGGGGGAACTACTTACTACCTAAGTATATCTCACAGGGCTGGTCAGCCCGACCAGGGACCCTGCACCCTGACCTCCCCCAAGGGTGAGTTTTTCCTGGCTCAAAGCAAACCTGTCCCTTTCTGGTCCCCCATTCCCCTATCTGGGGCTGTCTCTGGAAATGGAAGCAGCGAGCACCAGCTCCAGCCCTATGACCCTAGAAGCCCCGTGTTTCTGTTGAAAGCAGCCAGACAACAGGAGGTTTTAGGGGGTTGGGGCAGGAGGGTAAATTACTGGATGGGTGGGTGTCAGAAGCCCAGGGATCTAGACCAAGTCTGAATACCTGCCAGCTGTGTGCCCTTGATAAATAATTTATCTGGGCCCAGCCGGCGTGGCTCAGCGGTTGAGCATCAACCTAGGATCCAGGAGATCCTGGTTCAATTCCCGGTCAGGGCCTGGGTTGTGGGCTCCATCCCCAGTCAGGGGCCTGCAGGAGGCAGCTGATCCATGACTCTCTCATCATTGACGTTTCTATCTCTCTTTCCCTCTCCCTCTCTCCAAAATCAGTAAAGATTTTTCTTTTTAAATAATAATAATAAATTATCTGGGCTTCACTTTCCATGTTCATTCATTCACTCATTCATCAAGTATTTGTTTATCCAGGCGCNTCTCTCATCATTGACGTTTCTATCTCTCTTTCCCTCTCCCTTCCTCTCTCCGAAATCAGTAAAGATTTTTCTTTTTAAATAATAATAATAATTTATCTGGGCTTCACTTTCCATGTTCATTCATTATTCTGGGCACTGGGAGTTCAGCAGGGAACAACTCAGACAAACTCCCTGCAGAGGGAGGTAACATCTGCAAAACAACTAATCCTACATGGTCTAGAAGCTCCAGGAACCAATCAGAATACGTGGAAATACTTTCAAAATGGAAGTATTTTGCCACCAGAATGCCATGGGTTGGCACAGAGAGGGTACCTGGGCAGGGCTGCTGATGGCCAGGTGATCCCTGTAGCGTGCCTCTGCTGTGTGAGCCCAGGTCCCTGGGCCTCGCTGCAGTCCTACCCAGCTCAGCTTGGCTGAGAACACAGTCCCTCCCCCACACTCACCATTCAGCTCACAGCCAAGGAGCTCGAAGCGCAGGGTGCAGCCCCGTTGGCAGGCTATGGGCACCAGCCTCACATACTGCACCTCTAGAGGGGAGTCAAACATGTTGATCTTCACACCACTGTTGTCCACATTACCCATAAATATCTAAGAGGAAGAGGCAGATTGGAAGGATGGTCAATGTGGGAAAGTTCCCCCTTCCTGGGGTTGCCACACTTTCCCCTTCAGGCCTGTGGGGTGGGGAGGGAGGCTTGGCAGAGCCACCAGGGACTCAGCCCTTCCCCTGGCCACCCCACAGGTTTCCACAACCCACATTCCCCCTTGTCACACCTTCCCTGGTCATCGCGGTGTCTTTCCCATAGATACAAATACATAAACATATNGCGAGCACCAGCTCCAGCCCTATGACCCTAGAAGCCCCGTGTTTCTGTTGAAAGCAGCCAGACAACAGGAGGTTTTAGGGGGTTGGGGCAGGAGGGTAAATTACTGGATGGGTGGGTGTCAGAAGCCCAGGGATCTAGACCAAGTCTGAATACCTGCCAGCTGTGTGCCCTTGATAAATAATTTATCTGGGCCCAGCCGGCGTGGCTCAGCGGTTGAGCATCAACCTAGGATCCAGGAGATCCTGGTTCAATTCCCGGTCAGGGCCTGGGTTGTGGGCTCCATCCCCAGTCAGGGGCCTGCAGGAGGCAGCTGATCCATGACTCTCTCATCATTGACGTTTCTATCTCTCTTTCCCTCTCCCTTCCTCTCTCCGAAATCAGTAAAGATTTTTCTTTTTAAATAATAATAATAATTTATCTGGGCTTCACTTTCCATGTTCATTCATTATTCTGGGCACTGGGAGTTCAGCAGGGAACAACTCAGACAAACTCCCTGCAGAGGGAGGTAACATCTGCAAAACAACTAATCCTACATGGTCTAGAAGCTCCAGGAACCAATCAGAATACGTGGAAATACTTTCAAAATGGAAGTATTTTGCCACCAGAATGCCATGGGTTGGCACAGAGAGGGTACCTGGGCAGGGCTGCTGATGGCCAGGTGATCCCTGTAGCGTGCCTCTGCTGTGTGAGCCCAGGTCCCTGGGCCTCGCTGCAGTCCTACCCAGCTCAGCTTGGCTGAGAACACAGTCCCTCCCCCACACTCACCATTCAGCTCACAGCCAAGGAGCTCGAAGCGCAGGGTGCAGCCCCGTTGGCAGGCTATGGGCACCAGCCTCACATACTGCACCTCTAGAGGGGAGTCAAACATGTTGATCTTCACACCACTGTTGTCCACATTACCCATAAATATCTAAGAGGAAGAGGCAGATTGGAAGGATGGTCAATGTGGGAAAGTTCCCCCTTCCTGGGGTTGCCACACTTTCCCCTTCAGGCCTGTGGGGTGGGGAGGGAGGCTTGGCAGAGCCACCAGGGACTCAGCCCTTCCCCTGGCCACCCCACAGGTTTCCACAACCCACATTCCCCCTTGTCACACCTTCCCTGGTCATCGCGGTGTCTTTCCCATAGATACAAGTACATAAACATGTGTCTACACTGTGAACGGTGCTGGCCAACTAACGGCATCTCCAGCAGAGCTGTGTATAATCCGCACGACTGTAGATCAAGGGTGGGGCACGTCTGGCCCACGGGCCAAAATCATTTGGTCTGGCCCTGCCAAGGCAACCTCAGGTGGGACTCAAAATTCAATAAACCTAGGAGCTTTTTTCATAGCTAATTTTTAAGTGGATCATTTTGTATAGCCCCCACTTGGCAGAAAAAGGGTTCCCCAGCTCTGCTGTACATGGTAGTCTCGAAGGCTCAGACTGCATCCCAGCTCTATCACTACAGCCACCCGCAATAGGTCCCCAAACCTTTGAGTCTCAGTAGTCTCATCTATAAAAGGGGGCTATTACTTGTAACCACAAAATACAAGAATTGTCTGGGTTTCCCAATTTCTGGGGACCCAAGATGCACCTGAAAACGCCACCTCCCCTCCTGGCCAATGACCCAGGGTACCCTCGCCTCATTGGGGGCCCTCAAACAACGCTAGAGCCCCGGGAGTGCTGACCACAGCCCTTCCTTGGGGCCCATACGGCCTCACCTTGTCTCCCAAGCCCCCTTCCGCCTGGATGAACTGGAACTTTTTCCCGTTGAAGCTGTAAGCGACCTTGAACGTCTTCACATACTGGGCACTGCCTGCGCGGCTGGCACCCTGCGTCGCCACACCCGTCACCCGCATGTTCCGCAACAGGTTCACCTGGTCCCAGGGTGGGGAGGACAGTGCACTTAAAACTCCCGGGTTGCTTCTTTCCCCTCCACTCCCCCCACCCACGAGCTGGATAAGGGTGAACAAGAACCCCAGAGGCGCCCGGCTGGTGTGGCTGAGCAGTTGAGCATCAACCTATGATCCTGGAGATCAAGGTTCGATTCCTGGTCAGGGTACATGCCTGGGGTGCAGGCTCCTCAATCCCCAGCAGGGGGCGAGCAGGAGGCAGCCGATCAATGACTC